TCTTCCTCCCTTTATTAGGTTTATCATTCCCACAGATTTCTTTATCTCCCGCCCCCCCCACACCCACACGTCACTAATCAATACAATGTTTTTTTCCTCTCTGCCCATATGGAAGACAAGTTGTCCCTGCCCCACCTCTTGATTTCTGCCTGCTCTATGAAGCCACCTATATCATGAATCCAAGAGGTATGGGTGGATGTGTTCTGTGGGTCTGTTTATCCTCCTCTGCATAGATACCATCTGTCTCAATGACTAAAGCTTCAAAAAGGTCTGATACCTGGTTGGTTGGTTTCCCACTTTGATCTGCCTGCAAACTGCAGTGCATTTAATCTCTGCATCCTGGCTCATGATGGTACTTAATGAACTTTTGTTGAATAGGTAATTTTCCCCCCTTAATATGTTATTTTCAGAATCTTTTGGGGGCTTTAGCACTTAATTTCTTTTCAGATAATTGTATATGTCAAAATCAAACTTCAGAATAAGAATTTACTGATCAGAACACCATTTAGTACTTTATATGGTAGGAAGGACTAAAACCGCTGGCTAAAGTAAAAAATTTTTGTGGTTGGGCACAATGGCTCATGCCTGTGATCTTAGCACATTGGGAGACTGAGGCAGGAGGATTGCTCGAAGCCATGAGTTCAGGACCAACCTGGCCAACATAGTGAGACCCCTGTTTCTAAAAAATAAAGTTTAAAAAATATAAAAATTAGCCAGGCATGGTGGTGTGTGCCTGTAGTCCCAACTACTTGAGAGGCTGAAGCAGGAGGATCCCCTTGAGCCCAGGAGTTTGAGGGTGCAGTGAACTCTTATCCTACCACTGCACTACAGCCTGGGCAACAGAATGAGACCTTGTCTCTGCAAAAAAGCAGAAACAGAAACTTTTTTTTTGTAGTGTATTTTCAGTATGTTGTCAGGGAAACTTACTGAGGAGAGCTATTTACCATTGACAGTATTTGCTTTGAAGTGTGGCTACAAACTAATGAGGCTTTCTTTCTTAAGCCTCATTATTGTAGTCTTAGTTCATATAGCCATGGTTGAATGTGCAAAGCAGTAACACTTGCTAGATGTACTAATTAGTATTTCACATTGATTGAAATTTAGAAATTGAATGCTTATACTTTATGTCAGTCAGTGGTTTCCTTTTCTTTGCTTTCGCTTTGAAATATTCCTGTAAAGATTTTTCTTTTGGACTGTAACTTAATTGGATGGCCCTAGTCAACCTTTGAAGCAATGCTTAGGTTTATAATGACTGGCAAACACTTTACCAGGAAGGAAGGGAAGAAAGACTATGTGTTGTTACTTATACAAGTCAGTGGAGGATTAACCCATTTTACTACTTTTTATTCTTGAATCTTTTTATAGTTAGATAAATATGACTTAAATGCCTTTGTCTAGAGTCTTTGGAGGACTTTTTTTTAACCTTGTAATTTCAGTTAACATACATACTTATATTTGACTTTATTTTCAAGGAATGTTTTAAAATGTAAGATTGGTCACAGTTATTGAAGAGAATGAGTGTGGCAGTAGTTCTATGATATATTAATATACAACTAAGGATAATCCTTCTGGAAGATTACTCCGTTGAGGTATAGATGCTGGCGGAAAAAAGTAGTAGCACTGACTCCCTTCAGGTTTAAAAAAAGTTACTGTCATCGACCGGGCTCGGTGGCTCACGCCTGTAATCCCAGGTGCTTGGGAGGCTGAGGCAGGAGAATCACTTGAGCCTAGGAGGCGGAGGTTGCAGCAGTGACCCAAGATCGCAGCATTGCACTCCAGCCTGAACAACAAGAGCGAAACTCTGTCTCAAA